ACTCGATCATGTCATATGATGTATCATGAAGTTTTTTGCCTTTGTGGCCTGCATGTGAGGCATCTGGCCCACAGGCTGTCAGTTTGACAGGCAATAAATGTTCTCCATGATGATCAGGGTCTAACCTGGTTCTTCAAGTCTTCTGATTGTGCATTTGTTGCTACTGTAGCAGTGGTGGTATGCTACCGGTTCGGACTGGTTCAGCCAAACCAGTAGTAAAAAAAAGCCCCCACAATCAGTTGAGACAAGAAAGAAGAGAAAAGCACAGGATCTGCCCTCCCACCTGCCTCTGTGCTTCTCTTTTCTTTATCCTCTCAGCTGATTGGCGCTGAGACCTCAGCTGGTGTGGGGAAAGCTGCGTGCGCATGTTAGGTGTGTGTGCACGTGCGATCACCAAGCCGGTAGTGGAACAGGTAGGATCCCACTGCTGTATTGTAACAGAATGTAAGTAGATTATGAACCAACTCTATGTTTTCTTTGGAAGCCTCTTAAGATGCTGTCATGGCTGAATGCACAGGTATGTTTGAAGCCTAATTTGAGATATGACTCTAAAAAGCCAAGGTGAGCAACACTTTCAAATGCTTTCAAACATTCTGCCACTGAGAGGCTGAGTGGTAGATTCTACACTAGCGTTCATATAATATTGTAAGAAAGCTCACATGATTGCAAGCTCGTCTAAAATATTCTGCATCTTGAATTTCAGGAAACACCACATTATGCTATGAAGTTAATTGCATAGTTATAAAGGAAAACTTTGCAGCTCTGTGTAGGGGAATGCAGGTGAGAAAGTAAAGTGTCTCTTTGTGGGAAGGTACAGGTAGCCCTCGACATACAACAGTTCATTTAGTGACCATTCAAAGTTAAAATGGCACTGAAAAAAAGTGACTTATAACTATTTTTCACACTTATGACCATTGTAGCCTCCCCATGATCACATGATCAAAATTCAGACATTTGGCAACTGTTTCATACTTAGGACAATTGCAATGTCCCGGGGTCATGTAATCACCTTTTCCAACCTTCTGATGAGCAAAGTCGATGGGGAAGTCCGATTCACTTAACAACTGTGTAACTAATGCAAAAACTGCAGTGATTCACTTAATAACTGTGGCAAGAAAAGTCACAAAATGGGGCAAAACTCACTTAAGTACTATCTCGCTTAGCAACAGAAATGTTGGGCTCAGTTGTGGTCATAATTTGAGGACTACCTGTATAACTAAATCCGTGGACATCGACTTTGGCCTAACCTAGGCTTGCCAACCTGCCTAAAACTTAAAATTTCAAAGATTATTTTTTCTTAATGGAAATACTGCAAAGCACCAGTCTTGGAATTATACTTATTTTCAAAACTGTTGCTGCATCCCCCATATTACCAGGATAAGAAAACAAATAAGGTGGATTATTATTGTAGTCTAAAACTTTATTTGGATATATGACCAATTCTCCAGAAAAAAAGACAAAACTAACTCAGAAAAAGTCAGAGCTGGCCCCGGACCTTAAGAAGAAGCAGTTTTACTTTCTGGTTAAATGGTTATTTTTTAACAGGCCACACAAGTTGTTCCCCATTCCCATCCATTTTGTGTCAGGAACTACAACTTGCTGTCAGGCTTCCAATTATGTTGCTCAACTGCAAAAGTTGCTTTTCTGGCTTTTTTTTTTTTTCTCTTTCAGTTCAGTATCAGAATATTTTTCTCTGATTTTCCATTCTGATTGGAAACAGGGAAGCTATAGCACAATGCAGGATGTGAGAGATGACAGTATTAATAACTATATGTTTCAGCACCCTCGTTGATGTGTATTCAGCAGAAGCATATTTAGTCAAAGGGTGTGGCAAAATTGACAATCTGCTTAAAATAACAGCAGCTAATCCAAATGAGACTTGTCAAACTAAGCAAAATATTAGAACTTCATTTCATAGCACGTGTGACTTTGGTTCAAAGATACTTTTTTAAATTAAATTTTTATTTATTTATTTATTTTTAATATTTACAATAATTCCCTCTTTCATTCATACAGTGTGTCGACTGGGTACATATGTCTTGTGCTAACAATTGTAATTAACATTTTTCTTACCAATATAACAATAATCACATTTTCAAGGCTATCCTCAAAGAAAAGTCAAGTGGATAGCCACAACTGTGCAATTTAAACCCAAGCAAGCTCTGATTCAACCCAAGCAAGACTAAGAACCTGTGTGTTTTGAGTTTCTCCAGCTATTGGGGTTCTTCACCTTTGGTTCTAGTCAGGGAATACAATCCAGGGCAGCAGTGGTGGGATTCAAAGGTTTTTGCCATTGGTTCAGTGGCTGTGGCTTGGTGGGCATGCTTTGTGCATGTGCACACTTTGCATGCACATGTGCGCCAAACACACACTTGGTGCAGAGGCATTTGCACAGGTGCAGAGGCATTCTAACTCACCTCCTGCAAGCCTGCACAAATCCCAGTCACTTCAGCAGCTGCAGCACAGCACTCTTCTGTGCTGCGCAAAGCAGCTGCGCTTCAAATTCAGCAGATAAAAGTGAGTATGGGAGCCCAGGCGGGTGGGTGGGCCCAATAGCAGTGCGGCGGAGAGAACAGGTTCACTCTCTGCTACTCATCACTGCTACTGGCTCATCAGAACTGGGCCAAACTGGTAGAATACCACCACTTCAGGGCAGGGGTCTCCAACCTTGGCAACTTTAAGGTGGGGACGGAATGGGGATTTTGCAGTATCCTTCCTCTGTCACACCCACCAAGCCATGCCCACAGAACCGGTAGTAAAAAAAATTGAATCCCACCACTGACACAAAGTAGTAGAGTCAGTTTGATCTAATCATTAAAGCAGGGGTATCAAACTCAATTTCTTTGAGGGAAGCATCAGGGTTGTGTTTGATCTCAGGGAGGTGGGGTGGGTGTGGCCAGATTGACGTTACTCATGTCAGGGGCACCTGTGGTGGCCCAAGTACTCTGCCAGTGAAAATGGCCTCTGTGAGCTCTGTTTTCCTCTAACCTGCGGCTTTGAGCTTGACATCCCTGCGTTAAGGCATCAGGCTAGAAAGTGGGAGACCATGAGTTCAAATTCTGCCTTAGCTATGTAAACTGGTTGGGAGATTGGTAACTCTTTCAGCCCAATCAACTTCATAGGCTTGTGGTTGTGGGGAAAATAGGAAGAGGAAGGTGTGCGTTCTCTGCCTTGAGATATTTGTAAAAATAATAAAGGTAGGATATAAACAAAGAAATAAAGAAAGAGGAAAGTCATAGTAATTGCCAATTATTTGAGCCAGTTGAAAAATGCATTCTAATGGGTAGACAAGATCAATGAATTAGGGCAGTTTTATATATTTGCTGTAGAACCAGAAATAGAAATAGACTCCAATATGAAGTAAATATGTTCATAACACTCATTGTTTTTCCTGCCCTTTCTTATCCACTGTAAGTTTTGAATACTCACAGATACACATAATTCATTTGTTCTGGGTTTCCACCTATTACTGTACATTCAGTATATCTTTTCATTCCCTTGTTTCACTATGCATGTTTGGCTAATGTTTCTGTACAGTAGATGAGGAACAAGCCTAAAAACATTTTTTAAATTCTTCCTGCAAGTTGTGCAAGTTCTGAAATCAAAGGTTTCTTGCTTCTGATGCAACACACATTTATCTTTGTTTTTGCTTCGCTTAACTGAGTGAACAGATATGACTTGCAAGGCAGAATCTGCTTTGTTATATTGTACTGATTAATGAGTTATCATGGTAAATCTTCTGAAAGCATTGATAAGGTAATTTTTCTACTAACAGTGATAAGATTTTGGGTGCCACTAAGGCCAACAAACTGATATTAAGTGCAACGGTGACAGATGGATTGACTGAGAGTTGTCTGGAATAATTCTTGTTTATTTTGCTAATGCAGTAGAATTCCTAAGGGTTATAGAATAGAATAACAGAGTTGGAAGGGACCTTGGAGGTCTTCTAGTCCAACCCCCTGCTCAGGCAGGAAACCCTATACCATTTCAGATAAATGGTTGTCCAATCTCTTCTTAAAAACTTCCAGTGTTGGAGCACCCACGACTTCTGGAGGCCAGTTGTTCCACTGATTAATTGTTCTAACTGTCAAGAAATTTCTTCTAAGTTCTCAGTTGCTTCTCTCCTTGATTAGTTTCCATCCATTGCTCTTTGTCTTGCCCTCAGGTGCTTTGGAGACTCCCTCTTCTTTGTGACAATCCCTGAGATACTGGAACACTGCTATCATGTCACCCTAGTCCTTGGAAGGTTACCAATAGCAATCCCATGATTCCACTATGCTTCAACCATCGTAAATACATGCTAGTTGCCAAGCACCTGAACTTTGATCATGTGACTGTAGAAATGCTACAATAGTTATAAACGTGAGGACCGGTTATAAGTCCATTTTTTTCTGTACTGTCGTAACTTCGAATGGTCATAAAATGACTGTCCATAAGTTGAGAACTCTGTATACAAGAAACCCTACCAGTTGTCAAACAGAATATTTGTGTTCTCAAATATTAAATAGCATTTGGCATTCAAACCAAGTTCTGCCTTTTTGTG